CGTATTTTGTATTGTAAAACATATTGAATATTTAATAAAAGTAAAAAAAAAAAAATAAAGTTTTTTATAAAACACTATTTTARGGCTGTGAATGTGCTTCTCACATTTAATAGACCTTTTCTTTAATTAAAAATATGTATAGATAAAATCTAGAAAATCAAAATGTATTGATGAAGTTTTGTCACTCACTTGAAATTAATAGTAATAGGTATAACTAAATTCGTACTAAACCCCCTCCCCCCCATAGTGTAACAAATTAAAATTCTGTCTTTTATGCTTTTTTTTTTTAAATTTTTGTATGATGGGTTTCCCTTAATTTAAAATTTTGTCAAAACCATATTAACATAGATTCTTCTATATGGAAATGTTGTCCATTTCATTTCCGAATCTAGAAAGTGCAAAAAGTTTACCAATTCAAAAATTTATTTAACTCTTAAGTTTACCAATATATTCACTAATTATAATGAAAATATTATTGATTTCAATTTATACTTGGTGAAAGTACTCTTAAAAAACCATCTAACATGTATTTTAATTTTTAGGAATTTCCATTAATACCTAGTGAAAAAAAAGATACAATTTTAACATCACCTGCGATTGTGCCATTACGTAGTATTGACTGTGAACATTTAAATTTAGAAATCTATGCTGAAGAAGGAAACAAAACTGAAGACCCAGATTTATTTACACCTAGTCCATTGATTTAAATACACAATGTTGAGAATATGTTTGTCTCGTATAAAACTATACTGGCAAAAATTATTATAACCATAGGATTATTATATAGACCAGTAAAACTATGTTAAATTTCAGAAATTGTATAGTAATATATTTGTTTTATGATTATGTAGTTATAATGGTTTGTTGTTAATAACTTATTGAATATCCTTCTCCCCAACTAGGTTAATCAAGATATTATAGTTGGTCTATTGGAGACAAACATTGAAAACAGTAAAGTAACCAATAAGTAAAAATATAGAACATAATATTATACTAGATTAATAAAATATTACAGAAATGTCTGATTTTGGTATCTAATAA